GGCAGGAGAAGCCCAGGCAGGGAGGGGGCAGCCTCTCTTGCCAAAGAGAACTCCTTGTAACCTCAGGAAACCTGCCTGTCGGAAGAATGGGAAGCAGCCAGGTATAAAAGGCACAGATGATCCCTCTCCATCTGAGCAGAGGCACCATGACACTGTCAGGCAGCTGCTCCAGGCCCGGGAGGTACCGTCCCTCATTCAAACTGCATAGCGCGCCTGCAAGAGCTCGGCCGTCACCAGCCCTCTTACAGATGGGGAAACCAAGGCCTCCGGCGGCTTCGCAGGGTTGGGGTGACGAGGAGAGAGCTGGGATTCGAACCCAGGCAGCCCGGCACCAGCAGCACCCGGTGAACCTCTCCCCCACCCACCCGACAGGCCAAGCGAAGACCGACGGTGTCTGCCCTGGCACCTCGGCTGCCCTCACTGCGGAGTTTGACGGGCTACCTCTGCACCTGGCTCTTAGTTGTGCTGGGAACCTAAAAATAAAGCCTCTCTCTCTTTTTTTTTAAGGCAAACATGGTGATGCTGCATGGTTCACTCCTACGTCAACTGCCCGGACCTCCCAATCACCTAGGGAAGGTTTGTTTTCCCCACTTACAGACAGAAAAACTGAGTCCAAGGCCTCCGTGTTCTTATCTGTAGAACTGGGGTGCACATGGTCTGGTTCTGGGGAGTATGTGCAGATGAGCCGGTGCCCTGAGGGTGTCCTCACAGAGGAAAGGTATGACTACCAGCTCACTGTCCTGGAGGCGGGCCTACAGGCCAAGGCAGACAGACAAGTGCACACACGGCCGGGCAGCGGTCACGGGAGTGGGTAGCACAGGTAGGGCAGGTCGCCCAGCAGGTGTGACTGTCTCAAGAGTGCTCGGTGCCGTCACCGTGCACATCCCCTGAGGTCACCCAGGTATTGTCCGTGGTCCTAGATGGGGGCTGGAGGCTTCCCGCCGCCCCTCCCCCCACCCCAGGGCTGTGACACTCTTCCTTGGGTGACACAGGGCTCTTGATGTAGTGGGACCACATCTGGAACCTGGTGAGTGGACACCGATGCTCAGCACGGAGAGGGCTGGGGAGTGGGTGCCTGGTTCCAGTACCCCTGCTGGGGTGGGGCTCCCGGGTCACCAAACTCACTCCATCCCCACAGTGACGGCGGCATGGCCTGCCCGCGTCACAGAGGGGAAAACCAAGGTCGGGAGGGAGACAGTGATTTCTAGATGGCTCAGAGGCCTAGAGCTGGAGCTGGATCCTAAGTCCCAGGACTCCCAGGACAGGGCCCCAGGGAAGGAAGGGGAGGCTTGGGGAAGAGCCGGCTGCAGGTGGGATCTGGCTGGTGCGCAGGAGGGTGAGCCTGGGTGGCGGGAGGCAGCGGGGCCTGGGGAGACAGGCGGCTCTGTGTGTGCACCCCAGCTACACAGGCCTGTAAACGCGGGGACTGACTGGGCAGGTGACACCCGGGTGCCAGCCCTGGCCACCGGGCCATGAGCCCCAAGCAGGCTGGAGGAGCCTGCCCTCCGGAGACCACCGCCGGGTGGAGGATGATCTCAGCTCCCTCCGTCCCCCACCCCCCAGCTCCTTCCTGTTTTGATGGAAGGAAAAATTTTCAGCTTTTCCTTCTTTATTTTTCCAGACGGGTGACTCGCTGGGGAAAGGAATTCCCCCTCCCCACGCCGCCGTCATGCCTGGTATCGATGCCATAGATCCAGGCCCATCCTGTTGTGCTGGGACAGTGGCAGTTATTTTTGGGTGCCTTGCGGGGGTGGCGCCCCAGGGGAGGGGATGTGGGGTGCCAGGCTGCCTCCTTCCAGTCCTGGTCCCCCCCAGGCTCCTCCCCGCCCCCACCGTCCTCCGGCCGCGCTGGGGGGAAGGAAGCCCCGCTCCCTCCGCGGGGTATAAATAGCCCAGGTGGTTACTCAGCCGCGGGAACATGATAACATGAGTCACCCGCGAAATCAAGACAGCGCCGTCAGCCCGGGCACCGCCCCGGGCACCGCAGAGGTGGGCTCCCGGGAGGGGCTGCGGGGCCGGGACAGCACCCTGCGGGGTCCCAGCCAGCCGAGAAGCTGCCAGGCCACGCATGGTCTCAGCCAGGCCACAGGCGGAGTGGGACAGCTCAGCGTCCCCACCCTCTCTGCGCATCTGGAGGGACGGCTGCCTTCCCAGGGCCTTCCCCAGCCGGGAAGGAGGAGGAGGGCAGGGGCCACACTCCCAGCATCCTTGGGTCCTCTCCCTGTGCCCGTCGCATGGGGCGTACAGAATAAGTCCATTGGAACTTTTGGTCCCCTCGCCCCATTTCCAGGACAAGTGGCTTTTGGGGTCCCCTGGGCCTCGATGGGGACCTGTGGGATGGAGGCAGGGGGTTGGGCAGCAGCAGAAGGGCCTGCAGGGCCACGCCCACCACAGTGGCCCTGAATCGAGGACACTCTGCCTAACACCTTCCTCTGCGCCTGGCTGCAGCGTGGGCCCAGAAACAGGACACCCTCAAGGACCTCGCGCAGAGCCATGTGACCAGCCAGGCGGCAAGGCCAGGGCCTGGCCCTGCAGGCTGGATCAGCAGCCACCCAGCTCCGGCTTCTCACCCAAGTCCTCTGCTCCGACTCATCTCCAGAGCCACACAGGCCCGGACCCCGTTGCCATGGCAACGGGCTCTGGAGCCAGCGCAGGCCAGGCCACGTCTCCCATCCGCCTCGGGCCACCAGGCCTGGCAGGGACAGGGGGGGCCACATGGGAGGGAGGAGCCCACCACACCTGTCCTGGTAGGGGAGTGTCTGGCGGGGCACGGCGGGGCACAGCGGGTCTT